AGATCTTTCTCTCTATTTGACTCTTGCAGGATTTCACCTCCCAGAAGTATGTATGTATAATTATCTCTAATGGGGTGTTTTCTACTATTTGACATAACTAACACGATTTATCCGAGAAAAGAAATCGTAGCCAGATGTGCTAAGAACCATTCCAGAACTAACTCGACTCACACCAGGAACAATTGAGGGCCACAGGGCTAACAACACAGCAAACCAGACATGACAAGGCTGATCTCGTCGAAACTTCTACAATACTGAATCAGTTGGAAGATATTGAACCAGACCATTACTTCAAATTGTCAGATGTAACGCAAGCAAGAAACAACGGTTCCAAGCTCAACAGGCAAAAAATGTTCAACAAGAAAAATAATTCTTCACCCATAGGGGGGAATGAACTCGTGGAAACGCCTACCCGCCAAAGCCGTACGGGGGAAAATATTGCTGCAAAATAAAATCCAGCTCGTTAAAATGAACAAGACAAATAGGGGTGACCTTTGGCAAGCCGCTGGCTTCCTGTCCTCGTCGAGGCCACCAGAGAGATAGTGGCCCCTCAGGTAAATTCAGGTAAAATATATGAAAGTTAACATTCTGTTAACAAGTAGCAAGAGATTATTTGTGGGTATTTATCATTTACACAATCAAAGCAATGAATACGTCAGGGTGAGAAGAGAAGCAGAAGGGCGATAAGAAAACAACATAGCAAGCAAGGCAAAGACTCAACCTAAGTTGAGGTTGAGGTTGGGAGCCGGTCGGCCGAGCGGACAGCACACTGGACTTGTGATCCTGTGGTCCTGGGTTCGATCCCAGGCGCCGGCGAGAAACATTGGGCAGAGTTTCTTTCACCCTATGCCCCTGTTACCTAGCAGTAAAATAGGTACCTGGGTGTTAGTCAGCTGTCACGGGATGCTTCCTGGGGGTGGTGGCCTGGTCGAGGACCGGGCCGCGGGGACACTAAAAAGCCCCGAAATCATCTCAAGATAACCTCTCAAGATAAGTTGCTGCACAGCCACACAGAAAAACAACAGTGAAGGAACAGGTAATGAAACTGAGGATAGGGGCAGACAGATTCACTACAAACGACAAGGAAGTGTGTGAGGGAACTCAATAAGACATTCCAGGAGGTCTTCATAGTAGGCAAGGAGATGTTCCAGAGATAAGAGAGGGAACAACACCTCTCCACCACTAGAGGAGCACCACTAGAGGTGCTCGGGATTACCAGTGGGGAGGTAAGGAAGCTTTTACTAGAGTTAGATGTGACAAAGGCTATAGGCCCGGATGGACTCATCATGGACACTAAAGGAAGGAGCAGACTGTGCCTGCCACTCTCCATGGTCTATAATAAATCACTGGTAACAGGTGAACTGCTCAAAATTTGGAAGACGGCTAATGTAGTCCTGATATACAAGAAGGAGACACTGAACTACGGGCCAGTGTCCCTAACTAGCATACAATGCAAGTTAATGAAGAAGATTGTACGAAAAAACTAGTAGAACATCTGGAGGGGAAGAACTTTGTAACACAACATCAGCATGGGTTCAGGGATGGCAAGTCATGCCTCACAGGATTAATTGAATTCTACGACCAGGCAACAAGCATCAGGCAAGAAAGAGAGGGGCGGGCAACTGCATATTTTTAGATTGCCAGAAAGCCTTTGATACAGTACCACACAAGAGACTAGTGCACAAGCTGAAGGTGTAGGTAGGAGTGAAAAGGAAGGTATTCCTTTGGCTAAGGGAGTGGCCTAAGCAGCAGAAGACAGCGAGTCACTGTGAGGGGTGAGGTCTCAGATTGGCGAGGCGTCACCAGTGGAGTCCCGCAGGGATTAGTCCTTGGACCTATACTGTTTCTAATATATGTAAATGATCTCCCAGAGGGAATAGACTCGTTCCTCTCATTGTTTGCTGATGATGCAAACATTATGAGGAGGATTAAGACAGGAAGATAGTATGAGGCTACAAGATGACCTAGACAAACTGAAAGGATGGTCCAACAAATGGCTACTAAAGTTCAACCCAAGTAAATGTAAGGTAATGAAACTAGGCAGTGGAAACAGGAGGCCAAACACAGGATACCGAATGGGAGATGAAGTCCTTCATGAATCGGACAGAGAGAAAGATCTAGGAGTTGATATCACACCAAACCTGTCTCCTGAAACCCACATCAAAGGAATAAGATCAGCGGCGTATGCAAAGCTGGCTAACATCAGGACTGCCTTCAAGAACCTGTGTTAGGAATCCTTCAGAATCTTGTATTCCACACATGTAAGAGCAATCCTAGAGTATACGGCCCCAACATGGAGCCCCGTACCTTGTCAAGCACAAGACGAAGCTGGAAAAAGTTCAGAGGTATGCCACTAGACTAGTCTCAGAACTAAGAGGCATGAGGTATGAGGAAATGCTGCGTGAAATGCACATCACATCACTGGAAGACAGGAGAGCTCGGGGAGACATGATCACTACCTACAAATTTCTCAGAGGAATTGACAGGGTAAATAAAGATAAACTGTTTAACACGGGTGGTACGCGAACAAGGGGACACAGGTGGAAACTGAGTACCCAAATGAGCCACAGGAACGTTAGAAAGAACTTTTCAGTGTCAGAGTAGTTAGCAGATGGAATGCATTAGGCAGTGATGTGGTGGAGGCTGACTCCATACACAGTTTCAAATGTAGATATGATAGAGCCCAGTAGGCTCAGGAACCTGTACACCAGTTGATTGACGGTTGAGAGGCGGGATCAAAGAGCCAGAGCTCAACCACCTCAAGCACAACTAGGTGAGTACTAATACACTGCAGATGCGCTTAAAATAAGCAGTCTAAATGTATAATTTTAGTCATTTGCTAGATCTCGTTAACCGTAATATTATAAATACGAAATAATAACAGTCACATTAAAAAAAATGTAAATCGCTTAACAATAATCTTAATATACTCGTTTAAATGATAAAAACTAAACACTTATCCTAACCAAATATATACAATTACGTTACCAGTCATTAGCTTCAAAAAGACCTAAACAAGCTTATCCTTCACAATATCCGTATAATTTAAAAAAATATATAAAATAAAGTTTTACAATACGTTAACGTGCAAAACCCAAAACAATTATATGACAACTTTTTGCACTGCAAAAAACCTAAAGCTTGAGAATGAAAAGAAGTACCAGGGCCTTCACCTCTCTTATATAATTGACAAAAACCAGCAATATAAATCTTTTAGAAAGAATAAGTTTTATATCTTTAAAAAAAATGGCGCATATCAAGCCTTCCATTCAACCCGTTCTCGCAAATTCGTAAAGTCAATATTGACTTATTAACTACGTGCATAGGTGATATACTAAACATAATAGATACCCTTAAAAAGATTCATAGAAAACACCGACCTTACCTAACCTTGTTAGTATCTTAAGATAAGCATCTTATTGCTTCGTAATTACAATTATTACTTAACCTATACCTATTGTAGGTTAGGTAATAATTGTAATTACGAAGCAATAAGATGCTTATCTTAAGATACTAACAAGGTTAACAGTACTGTCAATTTGAGCCCATAATCTCCCTCTCCATAGGCTACAACTAAGGAATGCCGACCTTGTCACACAATATTTAGATTTTAATTTTTAAATAATAAGACGAAGTCGATGAGTGCAATAATCCTTCAGATATATATTAAACTGCGTAAATCCACATCATTCCTCTTTGATGTGGATTTATGTCAACACGCAAAACCTTTACACTGTTTTACAGTTCCCGAACGGGTTACCAGTACACATCAAGGGAGGACCCGTCGACAAGATCCTGTACGCCTTCACTGCAGCAGTCTGCTTCGTGGGCTTCGTGGAGAGCTGTCGAGTCTATTATGTTCTCTCCTATCCTCCTAAGGCCAAGCAAGAATAGAAGATCACTCCTATCCGGAGCAAGTGGATGAAAGAATTGGGGAAAGTCTTCACTCTACTCGCTCAAAGATTTGTTGAAAATTACTTATTTAATGTGTTACCTTGTAAATATGGGACAAGCCGGGTATATTATTGGCATAATTGCTGAAATATGCAAATACGGTGAGAGGGAAGTAATCGTTACTTATAATCGAGAAGTTGTTACGTGTACATGTAATATATACTTAGACACGCATATATTATATCTTTTAGTGAAGACAATATTAATTTCATAGTATTTTTAGGGATGTCGATTGGAAGATCGTCCAACACACATTTATTTTCTACCACAAAATAATTAATATATTGTATACCGGTAACCAATCCTAAAAATTATTAATTAATTCGCTATGTAAAGAAATTTTAAGTTTGTGCTGAGATTATCTATGAAATTATTTTAATGAAGCTGTATATATATATATATATACATATATCAAGAATTTTATTTTGTCCTCTAGGGTAAATAGAGTGTAAGGGAATTGTGGAAAGCCTAGTTTAAACACCACATTTCAATGTTTAAATTTATCATGCAATATAATGATAAAGTCTGTCTTTCCTGCGATAGAGTAATTTGGTTTTGAAAACAGACGAATCACTTGAGATACGATATCCTAGTTTGCTATCGTAATTGCATCGCATTCACACACACACTAGTACCAAACATCCAAGCACTCCAGGACTAAATATCCATCCTAAAACAGCAGAGTGCGGTATTATTCTCGATATTAACTTAGTCAAGGTATAAAATAAGCTGTAGCATGTTTGGAGGGGCATACAGCACCGCTCCTGTGCCAGGCAAGTCCACTATGGGCTCACCATAGCCCCTGCTACTTGTCCCGGGTAAGTTACGGGCTCACCATAGTCCGTGCTACTTGGAACTTGTTCCGAGTAGCTGAATCTATAACAACAACGACGTTTGGAGGGGACCTTACTGCCACCTGTGGTGTTGACTGGCGGGCTGATGGACGCCATATTAGGCTAAGGTAGCTTACATTGGCTTTGTTAACTTAGATTATTCGACCCTCGTTAGTTCTAGTAATAAAATGAATAATTTCATACAAATGGGTGGGTGGGGGTGGGGGATTGTTATACTTACAACAGCAATTCAATAAAGTATCGTTTTAAGAGAACTCAAGCACCATAATACGAGTTGGAACAGAAATTGAGGCTGCCAGTAGACATCTAATAGCCTGATAGACCAGACCGTCAACAGGTACGGTACTAGTCAGAGACCGGGCCACCTCGACGTTGATCCTGGAGACCACCTCAAGGTAATCTTATAATCCAGGTAAAAACCTAACAATCGGTGTTCACATCACTCGTTATGGGTAACTTCCTGTCCTTATTGAGGCTACTAGAAAGATAACGGCCCTCAGATAAATCCAGGTAAATTCATAGCTTAAGCTCCTGCCACAGTTAGCAGTAAACAGTCTCAAGTAAGGCCATCATCTCCTCCTTGCTTCACTAGGAGAGAATTATGATATATTCCTGCACCATTTGTATGTCGAGAAACGTCGATTAAACTCGATTAAATACAAAAAGCTCACCACGTGGATTGAATGACAACGGAGACAACATGGCGGCCGGGAGAGTGACCGGATATGACGTCACTTCGCCTTTGGTCCTATACAATTCAATATCTTTACTGAAAAAAATGGTCGTACATTTAACATTTATTTACCTGGCAAAATTAAAATACATTATTTATTATACAAGGAAATATTAGTAATAATAACATTTAAGATTTATTTATTCATACTGATCATTATTCATTTTATTACAGAAAACGGTAATGCTCCTAATTATGGACATGTCAAGTAGTTTCTTTGCTGGACGACTTAACACACCTCAGAAATATGACTGACAATGTAGATATATATTACATAATACGAATAAGTTATCTATGTGAAAGGAGTCTTATCCTACTGAAGTTGCTGAAATATATCTAGAGGTAGCAGAGTGTAGAGAGTCTTAATATTTAACGTACAAAATCCCCTTAACTCGCTATCACTTGAATAATATAGCAGCTTCCAAGAACGGCAAATAATTAATTGCCTTAAAGTATTTATTATTTTTTTAAGTAAAATGGGATAGTGAAACATATTATTTTACAGGTTTACGGCTCCTCATTATATTTCATTTCTACTTCATTTTCAACCAATAGTTATATAATTTTCTGTTGACTCAATTTTCATGCAATAATATCTGTTAAAGGCCGACAGATCTGTTGAGCCTTGACGTCACTGACCCAGACAACGAGAAAAACAGAAGAAGATCAATTCAGGAAAACATCTGAGATGGATTTGACCTAATGGGTTATTTCAGGGCGTCTTTGAATAATCTTCAATCTTCAGTAGCATGACGGCAGTGTAACTAAAGCGTCTTCAACCAATGGGACGACTGGAAAGGCAGATGTTATTAGCCAACGAGCGAGGAGGATAAAGCATGACGTCAGTGACCCTGTTGCCAATGAGAGGTGGATAACCCTGCTATTAGTAACGCTGTTAGCCAGTGAAACTAGGCTAACTAGGAAACTGTGACCTAGGCATGACGTCAGTGACCCTAATAGCCAATGAGGGAGGTTGATAATCATGACGACAGTGATCCTATTAGCCAATGAGAGAGGTGGATAAGCGTGACGTCAGTGACCCTACAAGAACGTCTGGGATGAACCTCTCTCCGTTCTGGTGGATGCGTTGATCAATACTCTGACCTAAAGGTAAGACAACAATTTTTGTTATTATTCTAGTGACTACGAAACGCTAATAATAATAATAACGCTAAGTAATTTTGTACTTTGACAATATACTTATATATTCTCCCACTACATACTTTTACCGTCAATTCGCATATGAAGTAAAGGTTATTGATTGATATTAGGCTACTTACGTATTGTGCATCTTTTTGTATACTGTATTACCTTTTTTTCAATCTAGATATAATTTTATTATATTTTCATGTGTACTTTATTTCACACACACACACACACCTTACCAGGGGCGCTGGTAGCTGAGTGGACAGCGCGCGGGACTCGTAATCCTGTCCCCGGGTTCGATTCCCGGCGCCGGCGAGGAACAATGGGCAGAGTTTCTTTCACCCTGATGCCCCTGTTACCTAGCAGTAAATAGGTACCTGGGAGTTAGACAGCTGTTACGGGCTGTTTCCTAGGTGTGTATGTGCGTGAAAAATAATTAGTTAGTACTTAGTAACAGTTGATTGATTGACAGTTGAGAGGCGGGCCAAAAGAGCAGAGCTCAACCCCTGCAAGCACAACTAGGTGAATACAACTAGATGAATACACATACTCACATACACAAACACACACACACATACACAAACACACACACACACATACACAAACACATACACACGCTTTTAACTACATGGATTGTGAAATATTAAAGAAACTGTTCATAACTTTTGTGAAACCAAAACTGGAATATGCAGAAGTTGTATAGTGACCATATCTCAAGAAGCACATCAATAAATTGGAAAAGATGCAAAGACATCTTCAAAATAGCTTCCGGAACGGAAAAACAAAAGAGTTGCGAGGCGAGGCTAGAGGCATTAAATATGCCAAAGCTAGAAAATAGAAAAAAAAGAGGTAATATGATTACATCTTACAAATAATAACAGGAATCGACCAAAATGATTCTAAATAACAGGACTCGAGACCACGAGCGTAGCTCTCATCCAGTATAGCTCTAAATCACTTAGGTAATTACACATTTTACTCTTGGGAATTACAGTCTTGTGACTTTTACTTACGAAATTGAGTAAAATTCAACGATAGCATTCCTTGAAGTAATAATTACTAATACTATTAGTCAGTTCTCTACTTCAGTTCACCGTAAACCAACGGTCACTAGATTAGTTTTACATTACTTAAATTTGATTTCTAAAGTAGACAAACTTTACTAAATAGAGCTTTCAATCTCTGATCGAATTATAAACTATTTGATAATCAAGTTCAGTTCTTACATGAATAGTTTAATCAAATCCTTTTCCCAAACGAAGTATTTTATAAAATTCGAAGGAAATTCTTAAATACAAAATTTCTACTGTAACGTTTAATATACTCGCTACACTACTCTTGTCAAAGTTCCCGCACGTCTTAAAAATATTCACATTGTTAAATTCCCATATTTGGGTACTGTTGGCTAGTATATTAGAAAGGAATTTCGTAATTTTCTAACAAATTCTTGTTAACAAATTAATTTTCAGTCCGTGTTTACCAACAACCCCAGTATTGGGAACTATTTTAAACGTAGATATCCATTACCCTTTAACCTTAGCTCTGGCGTTGTTTATCTTTTCAAATGTCCGAAATATAATGTTCGGTACGTGGGCAATACCTCACGAAACTATAAACACCATACTTGTGAACACATTGGTGTCTCTTCAGCCCGTCCTCCAAACAAAGACCCAAAAGTGATTCCATGCACCCGCCAAACCCCCTGTTTATGAATGAAAAGCGGTTTACACACGACTCGCCTACAAATACAAATAATCGCCAACAGAAGCTAAACACCTAACCTAACCTATGCCTATATATGCACAATATGCTAATATATTATAATATTAATTTATACTTGAGAAAATTCCCGTTTTGAATGAACAGCATGTTAAAATTTATGAATGCGTCTGTGGGGTCGACCGCTGGATGTAATGGACTTGAGTCGAGGACGGGTTGGTGTCTCTTACCATACTGGTTTGTTGACTCTTTGGCAAGTTCCAACGTCTTTTATTAGGCATCACTGTGAAGAAATGGACCACCATTTAACTTGAAGCGATTTCACTGTTCTGATTTCTAATCCGTTTCGACTAGATCTGGACCCGTCCCTAGGCCAGACTCGTTAAAGCAGCGGCCGTCCTCCAAAGACACATTCGTCAATTTTAACATCCTGTGTATTAAGAACCCATCCTCGACTATGTCCATTACATCCAGCGGTCGACCCCTCAGACGCATTCATAAATTTTTACATGCTGCTCATTCAAAACGGGAATTTTCTTAAATACAAATAAAATTATAATATATTAGCATATTGTTCATATATAGGCATAGGTTAGGTTCTGTTGGCGATTTTTTGTGTTTGTAGTACGTGGGTGAAGCAGTTACAGCGTTGTGGTTCGAACAAAATTCGTCAGTGAAGAACTTGTTCAGGAAGTGTTCGGACGTCCTCAATTGTGAGTCCAGCCCGTCCTCCAAACAAAGACCCAAAATTGATTCCATGTACCCGCCAAACCCCCTGTTTATGAATGAAAAACGGTTTACACACGACTCACAACTGTTGACGTTCGAACACTTCCGGAACAAGTGCTTCACTGACGAATTTTGTTCGAACCACAACGCTGTAAATGCTTCACCCACGTACTACAAATACAAAAAATCGCCAACAGAGCCTAAACACCTGACCTAACTTAACCTAGGCCTATATATGAGCAATATGCTAATATATTATAATATTAATTTATATTTAAGACAATTCCCGTTGTAAATGAACAGCATGTACAAATTTATGAATGCGTCTGAGGGGTCTAAGGTCTCAGATCCTATTGGAACGAAGTTATACCGATGATCTAATTGCCTGTACTTGGCTGACTTGTCTCTTTCTCTGCGTGTCGCCGCGGCTCCTGCTTGGCTGGCAGAGAGGTTGATGTATGTGGTTGCCAGGGTGGATACGTAAGTATAGTCCCATGCCAACTGTCTGCCACCCTTCCACGGGAGCAGTGTGATTCCGTCTGGTCGGCCGGCAAAGCTAACAGTCACGGTTCAGTAGGTTGCGGGGCTCTCTCTGCTGGACACTGAGCAGAGGCAAGGCTTCTTTTAATGATGACATTGACTTCGTCGTGTCTAGTGTGCCAACCGCCAGATTTTCCACGGTGCCGGCCATGCAGTCCATATTCGTCAGCATCTGCCTCGCCGCAAATACAACTATGAACAGTGTGGATAGGGGCAGCAAGGCGGAGAGCGACTGCAATACAGAGCTCCTGCGGATCAAGACGTGTGCCTGTCGCAGACATAGGGACTGCCAGAAGGAAGTCCCCTGCATGGGGAGCCTACACAGCTGTGAGGCGTGCACGATCACTGGGGGTTGTTGCTGCCTCCAGCAAAGCTGTGGCTTCTTTGTCTACAATGGGGCTGTCCCAGCTGGATTGTTTCTTGGCTTTCGGCATGGCTGGTCTGAGTGCTGGGTCTGCCATGGCACCCCTATTTTGTGTAGCATTCCGTATAGTGGGGGTCCTGTATCCCTGTCAATTCACACAAGTTGTCAGGTAGAATTTCCTTAACCAGGTTATCTGATGCTGAGGAGGAAGACATTAAGTGCAATAGCGCATTAATCAATGAAAAAACTCACTATTTTAAAGAAACAAGGAAACGTAGATATATATATTTATATATATATTTAAATAAGCATCCAGCCATATCTAATATAATTTAAGATTGTAAATTATCCTTCAATATGTGAGTCCCCCATGAAGTACGTGGAACAATAAGCCTTACCCGGCAACCTCTCGAACAGTACATCACATTAAAAAAAATTCAAATTCAAAATTCAAAAATCAAAATTCAAATTCTACATTTTGAGGCATAACCCCCGCACTAAAGATCAGCCCGTCCTCCAAGAATGGGGAGGTAAATGTAACAGCCCCGTAAGTGCAGTTATGTACTATGTATGACAGTCAGGAATTGTACTTATTTACACTTAAGTATTAAATCTCTAAAGATATAACCTGAGCTACTAAAACCCAAAGCGGCGCTCCAAATTAACGTGATGTCCCGTTTTCTGTTGGTTGGTGCCTTGGGAAGGCTAGGCTCAAGCAATTTAGCACATCAGTTTAGAGACGTTGTGAAGGCTGGAGAGAATGGGGGGGGGGGTGAATAGTTATGAGGGGGGGGGTGTTAAACCAGTATTGCTATACAACACTTGGGAGGGATTATGAGGATAAGAAGATCCTCCTTATATCCTCTACCCTCATATCCTTCCCCCATTCCTTCCCTTATATAATATAATAATAATAATTATAATCTTGCCAATCTCCCCTTATATCCTGCCCCCTCCACTTATTTCCTGCCCCTCCTCCCCTTTATAACTTGCTCCCTCACCCTATATCCTGGTTCCTCACCTTATATTCTGCCCCCATCTTCTTTTATCCTGCCCCGTCACCGTCTGTTATGCCCCCTCCCTTAATATCCTGCTTCTTCCTCTTATATCCTGCCCCCTCCCCTTATATCCTGCCCCCTCCCCTTATATACTGCCCCCTCCCCTTATATCCTGCCCCCTCCCCTTATATACTGCCCCCTCCCCTTATCCTGCCCCCTCCCCTTATATTGTGCTCCTTCCTGCTCTCTCATTCCTCGTTGGCTTAACCCCCCCCCCATTTTCCCTCCCCCCCCCTATATCTTCATACTGTCTTTATCGTCATCCCCTCCTTCCTCCCCTTCCCCTTCCCCCATCTCCCTCTTTTATCGTTATCTTTGTCTCCCTTCCCCTCCCACAGCCCCCCTTCACAAGCTGTCTTTGTCTCTCTCTCCCCTTATTCTCCCCTCTCCTCGCTGTCTTTGTCTCTCTCTCTCCCCTCACTCAGTCCCCCTTGAGGCCATCCCTTACCTCCCCTCGTCTACCTTGTGACTGGGGCGAGGGGGGAAAGTAATCGTTGCTTTCTCCGTCCCCTTTCCCTTCCCTCTGCATCTTTATTGTTCATATAATGTCCGCCCTCTATTTTCTCACCTCCCTCTCCCTCTCTCTCTCTTTCATTCTCTTTCGCTTTCATTCTCTCTCTCTCTCTCTCTCTCTCTCTCTCTCTCTCTCTCTCTCTCTCTCTCTCTCTCTCTCTCTCTCTCTCTCTCTCTCTCTCTCTCTCTCTCTCTCTCTCTCTCTCTCATTGTTATCTTTCATCCAAATACCCCCTTAAATATTCAGGTAATTTAATTCCGGTTATTGGTTTTGATTCTCATTTTCTATGCTGACAGAAGGGGCATCGATGGGTAACTCAAGAAAGTTCGTTTTCTTAAGGCCACTGTCGCATCCTTTTGCTTACATTTCAACGTGGAGCCCGGCGACTCAAGGTGACCGTGGTATTCTCGATTTCCCCTCTTCCCCAATTCACTTTCCTCTTCCCTCACCCTCTCCCCTTCTTCTCGGACCCTCTCCCTCTCCCCTTTTTTGTCTCCCCTCCTCCCATATTCCCCTTTTTCTCTCCTGTGATGGAATAGAACGATGAATGTCAGAGGTAAAGCCTGGTGTAACTTTTGTCAATATATAAATATATATATGTACAGTATATACGTACATCCTTTGCCCTAGCGTCTAATAAGGGCTAATTATTATCATCATTAATAATCATTTTAATAATTATAATAATTTTATTAGCATTAATAATGTTAACAGTAACAGAGAGAGAGAGAGAGAGAGAGAGAGAGAGAGAGAGAGAGAGAGAGAGAGAGAGAGAGAGAGAGAGAGAGAGAGAGAGAGAGAGAGAGAGAGAGAGAGAGAGAGAGAGAGAGAGAGAGAGAGAGAGAGAGAGAGAGAGAGAGAGAGAGAGAGAGAGAGAGAGAGAGAGAGAGAGAGAGAGAGGAGAGAGAGAGAGAGGAGAGAGAGAGAGAGAGAGAGAGAGAGAGAGAGAGAGAGAGAGAGAGAGATCTTCACAACACACTTTCCTCACTTTACACGAACTTTACTGCAAACGATTCTCTTCACACGCAAGCCTTACTCAAGCGTGTATAATGTATAGTGAGGCTCTCTTGCTAAAAAAATATTTTTACTATTCATAATCTTCATTATCTTTAATATATATATATATACAATCTTCAATACACATTCTTTACTACACGTGATCTTCACAACTATTGCTGGGCCTCGAGGGTCTTCTCAAAACCGAATTTCGTTGGATTTGCTCGTCTAAAATCCTATGACCTGTGCCCGGATTTTACTTTGAAGTTTACAACATCTTCTTGAGGTTATCTTGAGATGATTTCGGGGCTTTAGTGTCCCCGCGGCCCGGTCCTCGACCAGGCCTTAACCCCCAAGAAGCAGCCCGTGACAGCTAACTAACACCCAGGTACCTATTTACTGCTAGATAACAGGGGCATAGGGTGAAAGAAATTCTGCCCATTGTTTCTCGCCGGCGCCCGGGATTGAACCCGGGACCACAGGATCACAAGTCCAGCGTGCTGTCCGCTCGGCCGACCGGCTCCCGATCTGCTCACATAACATAATCTGCACATTAGGCACGACAAAAAAATAGCTAAAAGTGAGCCAATAAATAGAGCAAAAGTAACTTAGGAATGTCATATGCTCTTAGTTGAAAGACAATATATTCCCCTGTAAAAAAGCACTGTTTTACCTGATCAAACCTAACAAGCTAACCTAACCTAACTTAACCTAACCTAACCTAACCTAACCTAACCTAACCTAACCTAACCTAACCTAACTTAACCTAAATTAAACATTCTCCTGTTGGAGCTGAACTGCATCTCTGCTTACGATTTCTGAACCAAATGAAGCTCATTTGAACTGTTGTTGTTAGAGATTCGCTACCTGGAACAAAAAGTTCCAAGTAGCACGGGCTATGGTGAGCCCGTAGTGATTTGAACTGTAATGCACCGGATTAAAAGCAATCGAGGGCAAGATGGCCATAACCGCCCATTAGTGACCACCGGAGCTCTATATAATGCTCTGTATACTCTATACCTTCATGGTCGAGAGTCTTTATATATTCCATCGGCGGAACGACTAGTAATATTGTGTTTTGTTGCTCCGAGATCACATTTCTCCATGGCTGAGAGTGCTTTCTCGTCCACGTTGCTGTGATAAGGTGCAGACCGGTGGGCGAGGGGGAGCGAAAGAGAGGGGGGAGGGAGAAGAAGAATGGGGGAGGGGGAGAAGAATGGGGATGGGGGGAGAAAGAAAGGGAGAGGGAGAGAAAGAGAGGGGGAGGGAGAGAAAGAGAAGGGGTTAGAACGGAATACAGTGGGAGGGGGAGAAAGAGAGAGAGAGAGGAGAAGAAGGAAGTTAGAGATGAGAGGAAAGCCGGAGAAAGAGGAGAAGGGTGTCTAAAGAAAATGAGAGGAGAGATGGGGGATAAAATCAGAGGGAGGGTCGGAGGTATACAAAGAGAGGAGGGAGGGCAAATGGGAAAAGTGGAGGGTGAGGGAGAGGGAAGATGAAAAGAGGGAGGGAGGGAGCGAAAGAGGTTTGAGGGGTAGAAGTAGCGGAAGAGGGAGAGGGTGAGGGTGAGGGAGAGGGTGAGGGAGAGGGTGAGAGAGTGAGGGGAGAAGGAGTGGGTACCAGAAAGACATACAGTACATCTTACACAGATCGTTCCCTTGATATAGGAGTGAAAGTAACAACTAATCCTGTTAATTACCACTAATATAAGAACTATGTACACAGAACCACCCTACTTGGCTTAGTAATCAACACCAGGTTTGCTTAACAAGTACAGCTATTTTTGGTAATTCAAATAATTCTTTTCAAATTCGTGCATTCTTGTTTACCTGAATTTTCCTGAGGGCCACTAACACTAATGGTCCGACGAGGACAGGAAGCCGGTGGCTTGTCGAAGGTCCCCCTATTTGCCTTGATGACCTTTTCTAATTGGACTTTAGAATTTAACAGAGTTTTGGCATTTACGGCTTCGTCGGGTAGGCGGTTCCATGGGTTTATAACCCTGTGGGTGAAAAACCATCTCCTGTTATCAGTCCTACACTGTGGCGTGTTGAGCTGAACACCGTTGCTCCTTGTTTGTATTATATCTGACCTTTAGACGAAATTGTCCGGATCAACATTCTCCAAATTGTTTAGCATTATAAAAGTTTCAATGAGATCCGTCCCGTCATGCCTGATTTGCAGTGTTGTTAGCCCCGCGACCCTCAACCGAGCCTGATTTGCGAGTTGACTTAGCTCTGGAATTATTTTTTGTTACCTGATGTTGAACTTTCTCCAGAGCAGCTACGTCCTTCTGAAGGTGTGGGGCCAGATTCACGAAGCAGTTACGCAAGTACTTACGAACGTGTACATCTTTCCTCAATCTTTGACGGCTTTGGTTACATTTATTAAACAGTTTACAAGCATGAAAACTTGCCAATCAACTGTTGTTATTGTTATAAACAGCCTCCTGGTGCTTCGGAGCTCATTAACTGTTTAATAATATGAAACAAAACCGCCAAAGATTGAGAAAAGATGTACACGTTCGTAAGTGCTTGCGTAAGTGCTTTCGTGAATCTGGCCCGTCGGTCTTCAGTAATTCAAATGGTACCAGAGATTTATACAATTGAACCACTACCTTCTTTGAATTAAAGTCAAAGGTACGCTTGATCATTCCAAGGGTTTGGTTCGCTTTTTTGGCTGCTGCTCCTACCTGTTGTGCAACTTTCAGTGATTTTGACTCCAAGGTCCTATTCTTCGGTAATCTGCTGTAATGTTATTAATATGGTAGTTGTGGCGTGGGTTGTTATGCCCTACATGCAAGGTCTTGTAGTTGTCAATATTAAAAGGCACTTGTCAGTCTTCTGACCATTTGTGGAGTTCATGTTGATCTCTTTGTAAGGCTTCAATATAAATAACATATATTATGTTAGGAACATGAATTACTGACTCAGTTAGGTTAGGTTAGGTTAGGTTGGGATAGGTTGGGATTGGTTTAGCTAGGTTTTGTCGAATTTTTATATTTGTTTTCCTTAAAACTAAAGACAATTGCAATTTACAGTACTGTATATCTATAAGAGAGAAGAATATATGTTTGTTTGTCTAAGATTGAAGGCCAGATGCTTCGGGTTAGCCTTACGCAACTTTGCAGGGATGATGGTCTGCGGTACGGGCCGGACACAAGCTGTCGGGGTCTGTTCTATAAAGAGGAAGTAAGGCAGAGTAGTAACCCCCCCCCCTCCCTACCCCCCACCCCACAAAGTTTGTAAAAGGTGGCAGTCTGAGTCCTTAGATTTCTTCAAAGTGAAAGTGAATTAAGTATTAAAATGTAAATGTCTGTTCGAGTTTGGAGGCCAAACGGGGAAAAGGGGGCTGAGAGAGAAGGGAAAAGAGGGAAGAGTGGGGAGGGATGGCAGATGGGGGAGGGGGGGAGAGAAAATAGGAGAGGGTAGAGGAAGGGGAGAGGGGGAGGGGTAGGAAAATGGGGAATGGGAAAGGGGTAAGGATGATGTAGGAAGAGTGGGGGCAGAAGAGGGGGGAATTGTGGGTTAGGGGGGTTGGGGGTGGAGGAGACAGACATTGCATATTGTTATTTACCAATACACTGCTGAACAGTTGGAAATATGAACTGTGTTTCCTAGAACGAGGAAAGGCGAGGAATCACGTGTGCCCCAATTAAATAAGTATTCAGTTATCGTTAATATTTTTTTGACATAAAACTACATTTTTAAGAAGTAATTGGATCCTTTCTTTTCAGACTTTTGTAGTAAAGTGTATATCCATTATACTTTTTTATTATACATATCAAGGTATAAAGTCATGATTAAATAGTCAAGTATTATTTCTAGATTAAATTTTTTGTTATATATTTAACAGAAGAAAGAACCTCCGGCAAGTGAGCCGTGAGAGACCAGCTGATCGACCACAACAGAGGCGCAGGAGAACGGCCAGAGGTCAACAAGTAATCACATACTGCACGTAAAGAAGAGAGGTTTACACATATATTAAAAAAAAGGAGATCACACTACATATTAAGAGAGGTTACACTACACGTGAAGAGATATCACACGACACGTGAGGAACAGTGTGTGGCTGCTTAATCATGTTCTACCAGAGGAACTCCGTCACCGGCCGTCTCACGCCCACGCCCGCCCTCAAGATTCCCTCTGTAAGTCTTGACTATGTACACTACATGTGTAATAACATATAATACATGACCTAATTAATAATCAGCTATGTGTATTAGTCAGGTGATCCATGGTGTCTATAGGGATTTTTGTAATACATGTACATCTAAAATAGCTTTACTATTTAGAAATATAAAAAATCGAGCAGTTGTTATGAAGCTAGAGTGATAACTACCTTGGCTTGTCAATCAGATATCTCATGTTTACTAGACTTACTGCTGTGTTTCTATCTCCACGTTAATTAAATATCCTTCTTCTTGATATGCACTGTAACATAGGTGGTTTTCATTAGGGATAACACAATTGTTGGGCATGATTAAGGGGGGGCTTTTTAAAGACTACAAATTCTAAATACACTTATGAACCATGTTATGTCACATGTATTATGCTCTTTATTCAGTAAATACAATACAAATTTATTGAGTATTGCTATAGGATAACCTTCAATTTTATGCTGAGATGAGCCTTTGATGGTGATATATTGTGTGTATTTTAATAAAAAAAAGTGGTGAGAGATAAAATACTGCATTGTCATTCCATTAAGAAATTTTTTATAAATTAAGTACACAACATTTATAGGTGAGGTGTGATTAACCCAAACATGGTGAGTAAAGTCGCAAGTGGACAAGAAATTTACACCATTTTTAAATGATATCTATACACTATATAACTTAAATATTCATGAGGTTTATAGCTACATATCAGTTTCCTTTTGATCTTTGGTATTAGTTTACCATAGGGTCTGTAGAATTACTCATAGCCCTCAAAGCCTTTTAGAGATATGTAAATAAAGAAGAAATACCTGCCTTCCTGTTATTGGTTCCAGAAATCAATGTCCACACAGCCCAGTCTCTGACCAGGCCTCCTGGTTAATGGTCTGGCCAACCAGGCTATCTTGAGATCTTGAGGTTATCTTGAGATGATTTCGGGGTTTTAGTGTCCCCGCGGCCCGGTCCTCGACCAGGCCTCCACCCCCAGGAAGCAGCCCGTGACAGCTGACAAACACCCAGGTACCTATTTTACTGCTAGGTAACAGGGGCATAGGGTGAAAGAAACTCTGCCCATTGTTTCTCGCCAGCGCCCGGGATCGAACCTGGGACCACAGGATCACAAGTCCAGTGTGCTGTCCACTCGGCCGACCGGCTCCTCTGTAGGCTGTAGGATGCAGCTGCTGGCAGCCTGGTGTATGATTGACAGCCCAGTTGATCAGGTATCCTTTGGAGATGTTTATAAAGTTCTCTCTTGAATACTGTGAGAGGTTGGCTAGTTATGCCTCTTGTGTGTATTGGGAGAGTGTGTTGCAAAGTCTTGGGCCCTTAATGCTGTTAGAATTGTATCTCGGTATACGTATTGCACCACTGCTTTTCAATGGGGATATGTTGCAGTTCCTACTCAGAAAAAAAAAGCAAATTATATAATAAAACCAGTCCAAAAGGGGGGTGTGATGCCAAAGACAATTGGCACTGAGTGCCTTGTCAACTTCATTTGGATTCATCAACATTCCACCAATATTTTGAATGTGGATTTTTACTTTATTTCTATTTCCCTATTTCCTATTTCCAAGTAAAGCCTATTTCCAAGTAAAATTATTGTTCATGTTCTGCATTCAGCACCAACATAATAGTAAGAATTTTTTTTATTTCTTCTTTATATACATATTTCTTAAAGACTTTAGGTGGCTTTGGGTTCAGGTGGCTATGGATCGATCCAGTATGTTTAGTACAGGTGAACCTTGACTTCCTCAATAGGGTCCTCTGTGTGCACACTTGGTTTCAAGAGGTGGCTTACTTTCTCCCCAGTATCTGCCAGGTGTTCTACTCTTTAAAATTTCATTTTTTTCAGCCATTACACTGTATGTGCCCATGAAACCTCTAATCATCTTTTTTTGGGAGAGGGATACAGCCAGAGAGAGAGAGAGTTGGGCTGGGTAGGTGCTGTACTGAGCTTATTTCTTGAGAGAATGTGGCTGTGTTGTTTATGGTGTAAGCCAACAGGCAGCTCACACTTTTAAAGAGTCCACATGCTGTGGTATATCGTTTGGTAGCTGGAGAGCTTTGTGGTCTGCAAGGTGCTACTTGCCTCCCTATGGCCAAAGAGCCCTGGTTCCACATCATGCTTTCTAGGTCCCCCCCCTCCCCCCAACTTGTCTGCCTTCCCAATCCTACTACATGTGCATACTATGTTGATTTTACAAGGATCTTACCTGGAGAGGGTTCTGGAAGTTCTTTTACTCCCCAAGCCCAACATGGGCCCAGGCTTGACCGGTGAGAGTCCAACAGGCTGTTGCTTGGAGTGGCTTGCAGGCCCATATATCCACTACAGCCTGGTACGTCCAGTACTACTTACAGAAAACTGTCCAGTTTTTTCTTGAAGACTTCCACTTTTGTTTCAGCAATATTTCTTATACTTTCTGGGAGGATATTGAACAACCGTAGACCTCCTCTAATGTTCATACAGTGTTCTCTGATTGTGCCTATGGTACCTCTACTTTTCACTGGCTCTGTTCTGCATTTCCTGTCATATTGTTTGCTCCTGTATGTTGTTATTTTACTGTGCAAATTTGGGACTTGGCCTTCCAGTACAGTATTTTTATTGTACAGTATATATTATGTGATACCTCTCTCGTCTCCTTTCCAGGGAGTACATTTTGAGAGCTTAGAGATGGTCCCAATAATTTAGGTGCTTTATCATGTGTGTGCCGTGTGTGTGTTCTCTGTATTCCCTCTGTTTCAACAATCTCTCCTGCTCTGAAGGGGGGAAGTGAGTATTGAACAGTACCAAAGGCAGGACAGCACAAGTGATTTGAATAGTATGAGAATTGTGGTGGGATCCCTGGATTTGAATTGTCTCATAATCCATCCTATAATTTTTATAGCTGACACTATATTTGTTTGATTATGCTCCCTAAATGTTGGGTCATCAAACAGTATTTCCAGATCCTTTGCATGTTGCTTTCCTACTATGGGTAGATCTGACTGTACGTAGCCTAGTCCATGGGAACTGCCACAGGACCGTACCTTGGGAAACAACATATTTGTTTTCATGTGTACTTGAGAGATTAATTTTTGCTCATGTAATGACCAAATATTTTGAAATGATTAGCCTTAGTACTTAAAATAATACATTGATACTTTTTTCACGACTTATGGTCCAGGATGGACTGAAACATCGTCACTTCTTCATCTTCTGATGTGTGGTTTGGACATCATATCAACAGCCATGTTATTGACTCGTCGTCTGCATGATACTTTTTAACTTATTTTGTATATACTGTATACATTATGAGAGTTTACAAATCATGTTAAACTATACTCAAAAAGATGTGCAGTATTGGGAAAGAAAAGAACACTAAGATGTTAAGCCTTGTATTAGACCAGAAGGCAGGAGGGGGTTGGTTTATAGAAGTCCAAAGTAGAAAAAATACAGTAATTCAGAATTGTCTATCTTGACTATTTTAAATGGTAAATGTGTGACTGAAAGCCAAATGTGAAATGTTTGTGTTAGTTAAAAGGTATTGGAGATATCTTGAGAGATATGTATAGCCTTTTAATGTGTGTTCCTTCTTCACTCAGAATTTTAGGGCTGCAGCTGAGGGCCCAGGAATCATCTACACCCATGGCACTGTCTTCCCCAAGGACCAGCCTGCTCGCAGGGGCAACTACAGCACTGTTCCCGAAGCCTTGCTAGGAAAGATGCGCCATTTCCAGGTAAGCTGTAAAGAAGTAGAGGAAAATGATGGCCCTAAAGCCATTTTTTACAGTATGGTAATTTTCTACATTGCAGAAAAGCAAGATACAGTGGTACTGTATCTCTATTTTAGAATTTAATCCGTTCCCAGAGACAGTTCGAAGACAAACAAATTTTCCCATAAGAAATAATGTAAACTGAATTAATCCATCCATTCCACACTTCCCAAAAATATTAACTTAAAATTACTCTTTATACATACTACTACTAATATTTTGTACTACAGTATGTACAAGTATATCTTACCTTTATCGAGGACTCTTGTTGGCATATGGAAGACAGTGAGGGAGGAGTGTGGGGTGTGGTATTATTTATATAAGGGTGGGGTGTGGTGTTATTTATATAGGGTGGTGTTATTTATAATGCCACACCCCACCCCTATATAAATATAGGGGTGGGGGTATGGTGTTACTGTATTTATATAGGGGTGGTCCCAAACCTGGACACACAAATAACACATGATACAAGAAGGAATGGCAGGATGTGCAGAATACCCCATTGAAAAGCAAAGGTGCAATAGTACTTTGAGAGAGAACTCTTATTAACATTAGAGGCCCAAGACTGTTCAACACACTTCCACTACACATAAGGGGCATAACTGGCCGACCCCTCGCAGTGTTCAAGAGAGAACTTGATAAACACCTCCAAACGATACCTGATCAACCAGGCTGTGATTCATATGTCAGGCTGCGAGCAACTGCGTCCAACAGCCTAGTTGACCAGTCCAGTAACGAGGAGGCCTAGTCGAGGACTAGGGTGCGGGGACGTTAATCCCCAAAATCATTGCAAGGTATCCGCAAGGTAAGGTAAGGGGTTGTTGTTGTTTTAGATTTAGCTACTCAGAACGAAATATCCATGTAGCACAGGCTATGGTGAGCCCGTAAAGGTAAGGGGTGTGTTGTTGTTGTTCATATAGGGGAGGGGTGTGGTGTTATTTATATAGGGGGTGGGGTGTGGTATTTGTACAAGCCCATGGAGGTATAGTGTACAGTACTGGGTTATGGAGGGTATAGTATATTGTCTGTACAGGACCATGGAGGTATAATATACCGTGTACAGGACCATGTGGGGTATAATGTGCTGTGTATACGTGACCATTTTAGTATAGTGTGTGGTGTGAACTGGACCATTGGGATATAGTGCGCTGTGTGTACTGTACTATGATATCCATTGGACATTGGTTGTTAATTTAATGATTGGTATGTATTTGCAAGTATTGGTTCCTAATGAGTGTTGTAAAAGCTGTTGTGATTAAGCTGAATAATAATACTGTACAGTACTCTGTTTTGTCATTTGGGATAGTCTGCCTTTGTTATACTGGGTATTAATTTTGTATTTGTTCCCATGCTGTCTCCCTGATCTCTTCTTCCTAACTTTTACTAAGCGTCTATGAGAAGTCTGCCAGTGTGTAATTTGTTGGAGCTCAGTGTTCAATGCCTGGATGTCAAGTGTTTCTGAAGTGCTTTGACGTTCATTAAAAGAATTCTGTTGACATTTTTAATTTTGATGGTAAGGATTAGAAAATGGAGGGGGAGAAATGGTGAGACAACATGGAAGGAGCAGTGAAACATTGAAACAGTTAAGCTTGAATACCCATGTTGGATATTTGTCAAAAACCCAAGATCAGGTTGAAGTACACGAGGCATAAAAATCAAAATGTGTTGTTATTCGAGGAGTTAACAATTGTACACACACACTTCCTTGCTTATACAGTGTTAGTACAGTATTGAATTATAAATACTGTACATTTAGGTTACATTGTGACATGGCTCTTTTAACCTGTTTTATTACTGTTGTAGATTAAGGTTGATTCAATACTGTACCCTGGTATGTGTGTGTCTCAAGCCTGTTTCATGTTAAGATAAAAGCTATTTTGCACAAGTCTTTACAAATTGCACTGAAGAATCTGACCCATATAATGTTTTATATATTTTTTTTGCATTGATACACCCATGTCTGGAAAAGGAAGCAAGCTTGTTAGGTTTATGTAGTTACCTAAGTGTAGTTACAGGATGAGAGCTATGATAGTGGTGTCCTGTCTTCCCAGTACTCTTTGTTGTATAACACCTTGAAACTACTGACGGGTTTGGCCTCCACCACCACCTCACTTGGCTTGTTCCAACCGTCTACCACCTTGTTTGCAAAAGAAAACTTTCAAATATTTTTCCCGCATCTTTGTTTCCTTACCTTGAATCTGTATCCTCTTGTTCGTGACGTTGCTGGTTTTACGAATTCCTCTTTGTCAATTTGGTCGATTCCTGTTAGTATTTTGTAAGTGGGGATCATGCCACCTCTTTTTCTTCAGATATAACATAATATTCTAGTCATGGGACATCAATAAACGAGATTAACAAACTCATTAAGGTAAATTTTAACAAAGCACTTTACCAAAACACTTCAAATGCACTATAAGACAATACATTGCTGACTCTTACCTCACAATCTAGGTGGAAATCTTCATCCACAGGGAGATGACTGGCCCCCACCAGGGGTGTTGACTGTGGGGGAGGAAATGGCCCCCACCAGGGGTGTTGACTGTGGGGGAGGAACTGGCTGGTATGTGCACTCTCTGTTGGGCTAGTCCTGACTGACTCCTCATGCCACGCCCAACCTGTCAGGGCGTACTCTCGCCTCTGATGGCAAGCCAGTACAAGGATCTCGTTGAGTACTCCTGAGTCAGGCGACACACCTCACTCTGCACCTCACACTGTCTATACACACACAAACGCACATACACGCATGAACAGTCACAACTACACACATGAACAATGAAATACACTTACACTGTTACATTGTCATATGATGGTTTGAAACTACAGATAGTTTTGGCATCCATGACCTTCTCACTTAACTAGTTTCCAACTGTCTACAACTTTGTTTGTAAAGGAAAACTTTCTAATATTATTTTGGGACCTTTGTTTCCTTAGCTTGAATCTATGACCTCTTGTTCTTGAGGTTGCTGGTTTCAAGAATTCCTTTGTCAATTTGATTGATTCCTGTTACTATTTTGTGTGTTGTGATCATTGTGCTTCTTTTTTTCTATCAATCTAGCTTTGGCATATTTAACACCTTTAGCCTTCATAAATTTTGCTTTTCAGTTCTGGAAGCCATTTTGTACCATGCTTTTGCACCTTTTCCAGTTTATTGATGTGTCTTGAGATATTGGGCACCAGACAACTGCTGCATATTCAAATTTTTGTGTCACAAAAGCTGAGAACAGGTTCTTTAATATTTCACTGTTCATGTATTTAAAAGCAAGTCTAAAGTTGGAAAGCATAGCATATACTCCTTGTACAATGTCCCTTATGTGATTCTCTGATGACAGGCTACTGTTTCAAGACCACCCCTAGATCTATTTCTTTGTTTAGAGGTCTTTAATACCTTTGCTCATAATTTGTAGGTTGTAGGGGGCCTATTTTTGCCTATTCCACATTCCATAACATAGCATTTATTCACATTGAATTCTATTTGCCACATGGTACTCCAATCACTTATTTTGTATACACCATTTTGAAACAAATGACAATTTTCCAAGTCCCTTATCTTCCCTAGTAACTTATCATCAGGAAACATGTTTATATAATTCTGTATTCCTTCTAGTAGATCGTTTATGTAGATGATGAACATTACTGGTGCAAGAACTGAACCCAGTGGTACTCCACTAGTAACACTCCTACATTTGGATACAATGCCTCTGATTACCATCCTCATTTTTCTGGCAGAATATTTTTCATCCATGTCGGTAGTCTCCCTGTCACCCCAATCGTCCCTTCCAAGTGCTATATAGTCGTAATGGTTTGGTGCTTTCCTCTGATAGTTCCCGCCCCTTCTCCCTCCAGCATTTTCCAAAACAATGTCTTGTGGTTGACTGTTGAAAGAGTTTTTTAGGTTCAGATAAATGCAGTCAACCCAACCATCTCTTTCTTGTAGTCTCGGTAGCTCTATCATAAAAACTAAGATTTGTTACACAGGATCTTTCCATTTGAAAACCATACTGTCTGTCTGTTATATAATTTCTCTCCAGGTATTCTGTCCATTTGGTTTTGACTATATTTTTTAGTGTATTGATTATCATGCTGGTTAATGATATGGTTCTCTAATTTAGAGGGTCTTTTCTGCTATCATTTTTGTTGACTTTTTTTTCCATATGCAGTATCTAAAAAGTTAGGTGTGTGTGTGTGTGTGTGTAATTACCTAAGTGTAGTTTAAGGGGCCTGACAGCTGAGTGGACAGCGCTTCGGATACATAGTCCTGAGGTTCCGGGTTTGATCTCCGGTGGAGGCAGAAACAAATGGGCAGTTTCTTTTACCCTGATTCCCCTGTTACCTAGCAGTAAATAGGTACCTGGGAGATAGACAGCTGCTGCGGGCTGCTACCTGGGAGTGTGTAACAAAAAAGAGGCTTGGTTGAGGACCGGGCTGCAGGGACGTTAAGCCCTGAAATTATCTCAAGATAGTTACGGGCTGAGAGCTACACTCGTGGTGTCCTGTCTTCCTAGCTTCTAAATTGGCACTCAAAAAGAGCTTCTAAAAAGCTCTGAGTGCCAATGGAGAAAGTGCTTAAAAGCATTCTTAAGGAACTTTGTTTAGGCAACCAGTATGTATGCATAACAACAAAATAGTTACGTGTATTACTTTCATTATGCGTACCATTGGCTCCCCACCCCTGCTCTAGGCCAACTACTTGCCTTACCTTCACTGTTTTTTCAACAGTGGGAAATGAACCTGAAGCCCTTGGTTGTCAGGCGATGATGTAGACCCATGATGTAGAATGGATGAATAATCCGTTCGGTATTGAAGTAGAGCATTTGTGTGTTAGCTTACTATGGTGTGACCTGCACCATACATTTGTACTCAAAACTACAGTGTGGTTTTATCCTGGTTAGGGACACTAACCAAATGTTGCTTCTGTACTTACTGCATATTTTGTCAAACCACATCTTGTACCTTACCTTGAGGTT